ACGTGCCACCCTTGCCATATGCTGTTTATACCTGTTTCTGAATTCTAGTGACAGCTTCACAGGCTGACTCAGGTACAAGTACTTGCAAACAGGATTATGTTCCCCCCCTTACTTCTTCACCCCCAGCTTCATTACCTCTATTGCCCTACTGGGTCCCAGGAGCGCCAAGTACTGGGAATGTAAGTTCCCCCCACCCCCCACCGCGTTCGCCAAGGACCAGATCAGATCCAGAGACCTGACCTGGAGGTGACGTTTTTCAGGATGGGAATGGTTGGTGTGGAATGACTCCCAAGGAAGGGGGGCCCTGTAAGTGGAGTCTGAACATTTGTGGTGGTGAGTGGCCCTGCTGTGGCACCCCAGGACGGCTGGATGGCTCCCTAATCCATTCTCCGGAACCCACTGTCTCTCCTGTCCTTCCTCCTCCCGCTCCATAGACTGCCCCTTCATCACTGGCCTGTAGCCTCATTCCAGACCTTCTCCACTTTGAACGCTTAGAAGTGCAGAATCCTTCCCTGGCTCCCCACTGAATTCAGGATAAAGCCTAGCTGAGCTCCTTGGCCTGACCCAGGAGGTCTTGCGAGGTCTACTTCACTTTTTCACATCTCTCAGCATCCTCTGAAACTCAGAGGGTTTCTCCACGAGGGAGAAAGTGTATGTGCATATGTTCTGTGGCTGGCTTTCTTTTTATTTTAAAAGTGCATTTGTTTTTTAAAAATATGTTCCCCTGGCTCAAAAAGGAAAAGATAAAAAAATAGAACAAAAATTCCATATATGGCAAAACGTTCCTCTCACTCAGTTCTTTTGTACGGTTTTTTGTGCCCCAAACAGCGTTTCTTTCTCTTTTATTTTTACACTTGGATTGGTTTTAAATCCCGTAACTCACTGCTAACTCATAGCGACCCCTCACCTGGGTTTCCAAGACTGTAAACCAAAATGGGAGGAGACGACTCATCATCTTCCCTCAGAGCTGTGGTAATTCCCAACAGTTATCAACTATTAAGGATTTACCATTTAAAAAAATGTTATTATTTTTTTTTAAATTTACTATTTCCTTTAATCCTTAAAGCGACTTACGACGTATATAAGGAAACAGGTTTAGAGAGGTAAGTCACAGCGGGTAAGCAGTAGACCTAAGATGTTGTAAGGCTGTTTATGAAGTGACTTCTGTGTACCAGGAGCCCACAGTTCTCCACCTGATGTCCACTCACCCATCTAATAGGGGCCCTGGTGGCACAGTGGAGTGGCATTGTGCTACTAGCTGAGAGGTTGGTGGTTTGAATCCACCAGTTTTTCTACAGAAGAAAGGCGAGACAATCGATTTCCCCTAAGTGTCTGTATCAACTCGGTGACATTTTTTAAAAAAATTAAACGCATCGTTTCAGGGGCTATGCTGGAGGAAAAGGGAAAGACGGGTTCAGATCCAGCAGAGTCCACATTCCTGTGGGGACAGCCTGTGGCTAGGGTGGTTCTGCTTCATTTTCCCGTTTTCCCCGGGGCTGTAACCGAGGGGAAGTGATGGTTCTGAGGTCACACAGTGATAAGGGGTTGAGGTAATCAGCTCCAATAGGGAAACGGAGACGGGGACACAGTTGTTCTACTAGCTGGCGGCGCAGGGATTTGAACGCTCGGACTTGCAGGCGGGGCCCTGTTCCCCGTGAGCTGGTGAGAGGGCTCCGGGCCGCCCTGTCCGGCCCCCGCATTCCTGGCCCTCCGGCCGCTTCCTGCCTACAGCGCGGTGCGGGCGGCGGCCCATCTGGCGGCCTAGACTCGTTGGAGCCGGGCGCCGCTAGGCCCGCCCGCCCGAGCCCAGGTGTGGCCGCGGCGGGGGCGGGCGTGGCGTTTCCCTTCCCGGCTGGCGCTTCCTGACTCTGACTCGGGCAGGATGCAGCCTCCACCTCGGCGTCCCTGGAACCCCTAGGAGTTGAGGGGCGGGTGCAAGCAGTGGGAAGGGCCCCTACTGGTGGAGCCCGGGCAAGCCCCTCACTCCCAATAAATGGGTCTTCCTTTTCCCATTTGTACAAGGATGGCAGACCCGGGACTGTCAAGATCTCATATGCTGCTTCTGCCTTGCCCCTCCAAGGCTTGTTTTGTGTGTGTGTGTGGGTCTAGTCTCCATTCCTTGAGCTCTAGTGCCTAGTAAAGGAGTTGAACCGCCAACTCAAAAGATAAAGTAGTTCAAATCCACAGCTGCTGCATGGCAGCATGACTGGCAGTCTCTACCAGTGCTCACATCCTCTGAAAAACCCTTTGGAAGGTCAGCAAATGAGTCAGTTTTACCCATAAGGCAATGAGGTAAGACGATTCACTCCTTTATCATTCCCCATATATCCTAGCTCCTGACCTGACATGATCTACCCTGCCATTTAAAATTGTATTTTCCTCTCAGAATCCCAACGTGAGAACTGGCATTTGTAGGGGTGGGAGTGGGGCTAGGCTTTGAGGAGCACTGACTCATTGATGATACTGACAGAAGCCTTGAGATTCTTCCCTGATAGACACCTGAATGGGCTCTTGGGGATCCCAGCCCTCTGTTGCTCTGAGGGTGTCACCTGTTTTCCAAAGCTGTCCCCAAAAGAGGGCATCATGGTGAACATCATGGTCTTGGCAACCAAACCAGAGGATTCAAACACTGCCTCAGCTTCCCTATCTATAAAATGGATGGTACTTAATTTACAGATTTACACATAAACATCGCTGAAATACAGTACCATTGTTAAATACATCAATACCAAAAGGCTCCCCGTGGAGTCCCCTTCTCTGTTATAACTGGGGGTGACTGAAGCTCTGAGAGGGACATCTAGCAAACCAGAAGCACAATTGGGGAGATTGGGCTAAAGTTTATCAAGAATCCACTCCTACCCCGGGTGACGCAGACCCAGAAACCCCTGCCTCTCCACTGTGGACCCAATCGGTGCCCGGCCTGGTGCCATCTTTCCATGGGACTGCAGTGGTGGCGGTTCACATCTGGAGTCTAGACTCAGAGGCTCTGCGGCTGGGCCTACCGCCCGGGCTGGGCCACTGCTGCCTGCTGTTTGCTCAGCTGAAGCTGGTTAATTGGAATTAGAGTGGCCTCTGCGGTGCTGCCTGGCCGGGTGGCCCAGGATGGCCGGGCTGAGGTCTGTGGAACATCTGGCAGGGCCAGGATGGTCATTAGGTGGCAGGCGCCCGGCGCCACCGCCACCTCAGCCTTCGCAGGGGGCCAGTGGTGACTCAATGAGGCCTTTGTGGGCCCCAGGCCACAGTCAACCGTGCTGTGCCTGGGCCATCTGCCCCATCTGCCTCACTCAGAGGGGCCTTGTTCCAGGACCACATGACCCCCCTGCAGCCGGCAAGGACCCATGAAACCCCCCAGAAAGGACTACCTGGCTTCAAGGGGTCTCTGCAATTGCCTGTTTTACCTCTGAAGAGAGAAGCTGGGTGGCTGGCTCAGAAGTATCCAGCCACCAGTGACCTGGGTACAGGGGTCTGCAGGTCATCCACATTGCCAGAGGTCAGGGTGATGCCCCGGGGCAAGTGGCTTCCATTTCCTCATTCACAGTGCCACCAACTACAGCACCTCCAGCCAGAGGGACTGTGACCTGACAACCTGTCATGAGGTGCCTGGTGCATGTCACAGCTCAGTAGCTACCAGCCTGTGAGAGGGGGCCTATGCTGTGGACTCTGCCCACAGCTACCTCCCAACCGTGGAAGCTGCTGTTACTCCGACACTGGACTATGGCAAGTGAGAACCCTGGGCCGGGTGTCAGGAGTTTCCGTCTCAGACTAAGCCCCCATGCCTCAGTTTTCCCTCACTCGAAGATGCATGAGGACTTTGCCCACTCCTCACTGGGTGCTCTCCTGCAGGCTACGGCACCCAGAAATGCTGGTGCTGGGCCCCCCAGCTCTTCGGCCTTGATGGTCTCTCTGAACCAGGGGGCAGCTTCCCTGTAATGTCTATGGAGGAACAGGAAGGGCCTACCTCCCTCTTGTCCTGAAGAAACCACTCTGGGAAGACTCCTAGCAGGAGCGAAAGGGAGGGAGATGAGGCCTTCATCACCTGGGGAACACAGAAGCCAGGTCCTTCCAGCTGAAACTCAAGGATGTTGCAGTCGGTTTAGGAGGCTCCTTGCCAGCCTGGGAATAACATTCAGATTCTTCCCTGGGGCATACAGGTTGGCCCATATCCCCGGTTTTACTGATCCTGGCCCCTGAGGAGTCAGGCCCACTTTTAGTAAACCCCCAGGGTACGTGTGGGAGCTCTGTGGTGTTGTCTGTAAGGAGCTGCGATGCTGAACCAAAGGCGGTGCCTCTTTGGCAGTTCAAATCCACAGCAGCTCTTTGGGAGAGATGGGCAATCTCCTCTCTCGTGATTTACAGCCTCTGAACCCAGCGGAGACTCAGCTGAGTCAGCTCAGCCGTGATGGCAGTTCACAGAGCAGGTTTAGTGTGGGCAGCACGTGGGTGCCTGGCCAGCACCGCCACTGCCCCCAAGTGGTAGAAGGTGGTGGGAACTCCCGGAGCTGGTGCGAGTAGGGCCTGTGGGCCCCTGACCAGCCCAGGATGTTTCCGGGGTGCTGAGCACCTAGGATGGAGGGACTCAGTGGTCAGGGCCTCACTCTAGATTGGGGTACCCCATGTCCCCAGGTAGGAGCTTGGAGTAGTTTCTGGGTGGGACAGTGAGAGCAGGCAAAGTCAGTGCATGATGCTAGTTTCTTCCACATAGAAAATTCTAGAAGTGCTTGCCCTGGCCACAGGAAGAGTTTTTAATGCAAGGCAAAGTCAGTTCATGATACAAAAATCTAAAAATCAGACCCGCTCTCCCAACCTGATGCCCAGGGTGGGGTTGGGGGTGGGGGGGCTGAGGGCTTGCTTCGCCTGCAATGAGAGGGGACAGAGGAAGGCCACTGAGGTCCTTCGCCCTGCTGAAGCCACTGCGGTCCTGGTGCCCCCTGCCCGGCACACGGTCGTCCATCCTCATCCTGTCTGTTTGTCTGTCCTTGGAGGGTCGTGTGCCAGCAGCGTCATTTCTCCTTCTTTTCGGTCCCTTTCGTTTCTGTGCTGTCTTTGGATTCTGCCACTGCAGCTGGATCCTTAGGATTTGACTCCTCATAGCTGGTCAAAAAGCAGAATAAAATCAATCCATTTAGAGGAGGAGAAGGTGGCCTCTGTCCCCTCCCCCGAATGCTACCCTGTATCTGTGGCCCAGCATCTTCTGATTCTCGCCCCTGCCTGATTCTGTGCTCTCCTCTGACAGGGACTCTACTTTCTGTTCCCAGTGGTGCCAAGGGGCATCGAGGGCAGTGGCAAATGGAGGAGAGGTTGGACTTGGGCATGTGAGGGCCAACTTAAAGCTTCTTGAACCTTCTGCTGGGGAGGAGAAAGGGGCAGCCAGGCCATGGCTGTAGAGATGGACTGCCTCCCAGGGCACCTGGTAAGAGGCCTGGGGTTCAGCCCCGAGTGGCAACAGGGGTGTTACCCTGCTGGCAAGTGGCCTGGTGTCATCTTGAATGCAGACACCTTGGCTTAGCATTTACTATGGTCTTTACTTACTGAGTAACGGAGTCCCTGCCAAGGACAATACGTACATTTCCCCATCACATCAACCCTGTGAGGCAGGAATGTGCCCACTTAGAGATGAAGAAAGAGAAGCTCTGAGAGGAAAGTGACTTGCCCGAGGGGGTATGTGTGTGCGCACAGCAATGAGCACGCTGTGAGATGAGAGTACTACTGGTGAACAGGGCCATCCACATATGCTCTCGTGTATGGCCTGCACTGATCGCAAGGACTGTGAGGTTCTGGGGTGCTGTGGCCGTGTGCAGCGCTGGCTGGTGGTTCTGAGGAGCTGCCTCCTGCCGCCCCCCAGGACTGCTCCCTGCCCTGTATACTGCAGCTGGAGTGTCGGCCCTACCTTGGGCTCTGGGGCAGGTGGGGGAAAGCAGGCAGGTGGGTACCCGCTGGGCATTACATGGCGCTGGGATTCGGCTGGCGCCGGCGGCGAGAGCCAGCTAGCTTCTGCTGCATGGAGTCGGCCAGGCTGGCTGGGGAGCCCGAGACTGTGGGGAAGTGGGTGAGCCTCGGGGTATGAGGCAAGATTTCCGCTGAGGACTCGTAGCTGTGTGAGAGACAGAGAGAGACAGGAAAAAAAGAGAGCTGGAGGGGAAGGGCTGAGAGAGAGGACAGAGCAGGATGCCTTAGTCTAGGGGCAGGGCACTGAATGTGCTGGTGTTTCTCTGCGTATTCAAGCTTCAGGAGACGTCAGTGTTACATGGAGAAAAAACAAAGATGCGCCTATACATCATGGCTGTGCTGGGCTATGTATTGCTCCTATCTCTGGGATGCAGTGTCCAGGGACGCAAACAAGAGACCCAGCATGCCACCCCCTTGTCAAGGACAATCGTGTGTGTGAACACTGGCCACTGTAGGGTGGCTGGGCCTGAGGGGTCCCCCTCTCCTAGCTGGGGAACTGTGACCTGTGTGTGTGCGCTACCTATTCAAAGGTAAACATATGACAAAAGGGAGAGCTGCTGAAGAGAAAGATAAAACAGGATGAGGTAGAAAACCAGGGAAGAGAGGTGGCTAGAGAGATGGACTGGGTGGTCTGTAAGGGGAACGGAGGGGGAGGGACAGGTGCCAAGCCCAGGGGACCAGGGGCATCCCTGGCCTGAAGGGCACCCAGGCCTGCCCTGTGGTTCACCCCTCCTGCAGGGCTCTGCCAGGCCAGGACATGAGGCAGGCAGGCTGGAGCCCCGGGGCTTTAGGCAGAGCAGGGAGGGCAGAGACAGGAACGAGGGAGGGTGAGTCATGGGTTCCCTGAGGGCACCCAGGTGCACGAGGCCTTGGCCCTGGCGAGTGTGTGAGGGACAAGCCGGAGGCCGGGCAGGTGGGGCTGGGTGGAAGGCCCCTGAGTGGGCAGCTTCAATTGCAGTTGGCAGCTATTTCTGGGTTCCTGGCAGGCGGGGCCTGGTGCTGGGGAGCAGACACCTGTCAGGTCACGCAGGCCTGGGAGGGTGGGCGGCCCGTGCGTAGGGTGTGGCAGGTGCTGCTGGGCCTGCATGAGATTCAAACCTCAGACCGCCCAACCCAGCTGGCTGTGGGTCACGGGCACAAGGGCAAGAGCTTTCCAAGCCTATCTCTTGGGGGGAGGTGGCTCTGCATGCGGAAGGGGTCCTGACACCCCTCAGCTCGTCGGGGCCAGAGAGGGCTGACTGCCTTCTAATCTGGGGTACCTTTCACCACGCTGGGTGCGTCCACCTGCTGTGTCTATTACTCATGCGTGAAAGCTGAGGCTGAGGAAGGAAGGGACAAGCCTGAAGCCACAAGGTGGCAGAGCTGGCCAGGAACCCGGGCTCCTGGCAGTGGGGCAGCCCTGGGAGAAATCTACACCAGCTAGATACCCCCTTCTCACGACCCAGCTGGCATCTGGGTGTGGGTGCCACCCAGAGAGCCTGGAGGCCCTGGCCTCCCCCTGGCTCTCCGCCCAGGGAAAGGTTCCCACTGGTACCCACAGGCCAGGCACCCACGTGCTGGCGGAAAGGGCGAGGGGTGGGGCTGGTGGCAGGAACAATGTTCCCCTGGAGACGTGTATAAACACCCCCAGCCGGCGCCACAAGCTGCCTGCAGATGCACCTGCGCCCCTGCACCCCCCCGCCTGGCCTTACCTGAACATCTCCGCCACTTCTCCCTTGGCCAGCGCCACTAGGACTGGAAAGCCAATGCAGGCAGGGACCAGGTACAGGAGAGCAGGCTGTGAGAGGACATGGCTGGTCAGGCATGGGGCAGGGCACCGAGCAGGGTCACACCCCAGCCCGACCCTCCTGGGCGTGGCTACCACCCTGCCTGACAAAGTAGCTGACTCAGGCCCTCAGAGGTGCTAGACCGGGCTGCTTCCCAGGCCAGGCTGTGCCCACTAAGGGGTGCCAGAAGCCCAGACACTCCCGCATACGAAGTTTCAGTCAGAAGCGCTGGCTTCCGGGGTCTGGCTGACAGCACGTGAATCAGCTGGGGCAGCAGGTTAAGATTCACTACACCCTGGGTTCCATGTGCGTCCCCAGGCCTGTGGTGCCAGAAAGCTGTTTTTTTAAACAAATGCTTCAAGAGATGCTGTTACATTAAGATGCTGAAAATGTCAGCTAAGGAAGCAAAGGAGGATGGAACCTCTGGGTTCAACCAGCCATCCCCACTGGACCCACCTGGGAAAACACTTTGCAGTCCAGAGGGGAGCAAATGACAGGAAAATATCTTCTAACAGAACAAGAAGGCAAGCAGCCTTAACCCAAGATCACCAGTAAGGTGATAAAGCGTCCTCCCTTTCCCCCTTCACATCATCACCCCTGTTCAGCATGAAGAAGCCAGAGAGTCGGCATCCAGTTCCCAAATCAATAAGACAGGTGGTTTAAATACCATTGGAAAATGCTTATGATTGCCCTATAGCATCTGGTCCCCACTGGATCCTTTTCATTTCCTTCACCTGCTCCCCCCACCAACCAATTTCTGCAGCTCTGAAACGGCATCCCTGCCCATCCTCACCCTTCTGGCCCCAACCCTCACCTCTTTGTACCCCCAATATCTTTTTCCCAATTAAAAAAAAAAACCACAACAAAAAAACCCCACAAAACAAAACAAAACGAAAAGATGCTGAAAATGATGACACAGCTGAACAAAACTGACTACGTGCTGAAGTTGGCATTAAGGTCACTCAGCTGGTCACTGGCTCTGCTGGCCCAGAGGGTCTGCTCAGGCTGAGAATCCTGGTGCAGCTGTGCTGGAGAGAGGAGTTATACTAGCAGCTCCTGTCTGCAGAGTGGTGACTCCCAGGGAATGTTCTGGCACATCTCTGTGGTCCCTGTGGCTATTCTCCTTGGCTGACAGTTGGAAGGAGGGGACCGCTCAGGCCTCACTGATCTAAAAGTGAGACTAGGATTTGAGCCCAGACACACTGAACTACTCTCTGAATGAAGCCTTAGAGGGATGGCGATTATTCCACCCTCACTCTTCTTCACCCCAAGGCCATGTCAGGTCTGACCCTCGCCTTCCTCTCCAATCGCACTTGACATGTCCTGCTCTGACAGTGCTGGCTTCCTACTAGGCTTGTTACCTCCAACCACAGGACCTCTGCATGTGCAGATCCTGTGGTGCTGCTCCTCCTTCTGCCTAGTTTCTTCCTCCTTATGGCCATATGCGCACCACTTTATGAACTACCCTTAAAGTGGGGTGCTCTGCCGTGAGATGCGTAACTAACCCACACTCCAGACAATGGGAAGACAGGTCAAACTTCCCACGGGGGAAAATATATAACCTACGTGTGTTTGTCAGAACGCAGGAATGATGCTGAAATAAATAATTTGAATCAAGAAGCTAGAAAAACAATAAAATATGAATAGGGGAAAAATGAAAGCAGTATGAATGAAAAGCAGAAACAAAGTTGCTATTGAGTCCTGTGGACTCACTGCTGACCCTCCAGCAGGTTTTCAGATGCAGTAAGTCACACAGGAGGGAGACTGCCATCCTTCTCCTGCAGAGAAGCTAGTGGATTCAAACTGTGTGCAGCTTTTCACCACAAGCTCACCAGAGCTCCCAGAGAAATAAAGTAGGCAAAGAATATACTGAACTTTCATTTCTGGGGATAAAGTCCTTCTATCCAATTCAGAGCTGAGCCGAGTGATCACAGGAAGGAGGAGGCCTAGACTACGTTGTACGACTATCCGGTTCTGGATTCAGGATCGTCTGCCTTGAAGCCAGGCACATCCTCACTCAAGCGTGGGCCAATGGAGGCTCCTCTGGGGACAATGAGACGAGCTCTCTATTATCAGAGGGATACGAGCTGGCATTCTGTCTTCTCTCAAGACCCTGGGCAACCTTTCCAAAGAAAGTCAGGACTGGCGTCTGGGATGGACAAGGTGCAGTGAGTGGATGTCAGGACTCCAGGCTTCCTGTCCCATCTTGGCCTCACTGTGTGACCACACGGCCTCCTTCTCTGGGCTTGCCTGTCCTGTGTACAATGAGGGGTCACACCTGACCCATCTCTGAGCGCCCTTCTGGGGGCTACTAGCCCCTCCTGGCTTGGGGTGGGTTTTCCAAAAAATCATTTTTTGGTGAAGATATGTATGACCAAACATACAGCAATCCACCAATTTCTACATGTACAATTCAGTGATGATGGTGACATTCTTCAAGCTGCCACCTTTCTCATACTTTCCAAATAGTTTCACCATCATTAACATACACTGACCCCTAAACCTCCTGAGTCGCTGCTGCCAGTGTGACTGGCACTTGGCTAAGATAATACTGGTAGTGTGCCTGTCTGTGTCTCGGGGTAGAAGGGGCCCCAAGACACAGGTTCTCCTCAGGTTCTCAGTCACCTTGTCACAAAAGCTTCTCAGGGAGATTTCCTGATGACTGGCAAGGTGGATGTCAAGCGTCTAGGGTCCTGCACGGCCCAGCTTGACTTGCTGCATGACCCAGGGAAACCTTCCTTTCTCTATGGGCTGAACTGTCCCCATGAGGAGATGATCTATCCTGCCCCCCCCAGCGCATGAGAAGGCGGAGTCCTCCTTGAGTCCATCCCAGGCTGAGGTCAAGCTCGCCACCTAGTGGCCACGGGGGGAATCAACAGGCAGAGCTGAAGCCCAGCTGCCAGTCTGCAATTTGGCTTCTCAGCCTGGGTACTGGGGCAGATGAACACAGTGTGTTGGATGTTTCTGCCCAGTGCCCATCCCACAGCAGGAGTGATGGGGTTTGTCAAGGTAGGTTCTGAGTGCTATGACTGAAGTGGGAAGCGGAGAAGGGCAGTCTGACAGCCATGTTCCTGGGGAAAGGGACAGCATTAATCTAATACAGGCAGAAAAGGGAGAGCTCTGGTGGTCTAGTGAGTAAGGTGTTGTGCTGCCAGCCTAAAGGTCCATGGTTCGAATCCACCAGCTGCCGTGTGGGAGAAAGATGGGTAACCTCCTCCTGTGCCTTCTTCCTGCCTCTGAAAACCCACTGGAGGGTCAGCTATGAGGGGGTTCCGACTTTAACAGGCAGTAAAGTACTCCAGAGGTCTCCCATCTGGCCCTACTGACGCCCAGCCACACTCTACAGCTCCCTGGATGAGTGCAATACTGTGCACACACTGTCCCTGACACAGGAGTGTCCTCCAGAGGCCGTGTGGAACAGATGTGGAACAGGTGACACCCCGTCTTTGCTCGGGGACCCTGAGTCAGTTATGGCGATCTCTCCATGACTCCTTTACTCTTCTGTACGAGAAGCAAACAAGAAACCCTGGCGGTGCAATGGTTAAGTGCTTGCTGCTTACGGAGAAGCTGGTGACTTGAGCTCACTTCATGGCTTGTGGGGGGATAAGACTTGGTGGTCTCTAAGATTATAGCTTCAAACCCCACAGGGGAACTTCTCCTATGTCCCATGGGGTTGTGATGAGCTGAAAATCGGCTCAATGGCACCTAACAACACAAACAGGACCAACATCAGAGTGGCGCTGTGAAGCTCGAATGACCGAGTGAGTAAGGGTCTATGACACAGTGCTCAGCCCGGGGTGGGAGCCCCGAACAGCTGTCGTGATTACGCCAGACACAGCTCCTCTGTGGCTGCTGGGGGTGGCGTGGGGAACAGCAGGAGCAACAGTAACGGGGGCAGCAGACACTAACTGGGCCAGGCCTGGCTCGAAGAACTTGTACTCCCATTAACTCATTCCATCCTCAAATGACACCAAGGATTATCTACCTATCCCTTTTCTGTTTTTATCTAAGAAGAAACCAGCCTTACATTCAGCAACCTGCTCACTCACACAACTCAACGGTGGAGTCTGCATTTACCCTCAGAACTCCTGGTTCTGGCTCGTTTTAGCCTCCGGCCCCAATACCTCTCTGACTTGAGTTTCCACGCAGTACGGGCTGGAACCCTGGGTCCCTCATGTGCCGATCCCATGGCACCTATTTACAAAGACTGTGGCACTGGGAGGGGCTTAACCCAGAGTTTGCTGCCTTGCAGTCAGCTCACGGTGAACCCTCTCCCCAACCTCCTGCCACCATCCCCAGATCAAACCGCTGTGGTCCACAGGGCTTTTATGGACTGAGTTCTGGAAGCTGGCTGCTAGCCCTTTCTTTCTAGTCTGCCTTTGTTTGTCAGCTCGACAGACACTTCTTCAGCATCACAGCAACACGCAGGCCTCCACTGACAGATGACTGGTCACTGGGAGGGAATTGAACCCATGTTTTCCCAGAGGAAGGAGAAAGTGCTACTACTGGACTACTACTGCCCACCTAGCCAGCTGGTTCTGTCTACTCCAAGAGAGTGATTCTGCCCATTTCCTCCAGGACACAGGGCTGACTCCCGTGTCATGCTCTCGCCACCTCCTGCTTCAATACCCACCCTGGTGAACTCCTCCATCACTCCTGTCCTGAGACAGACATGGGGCAAAACCATCTAGCACCCACCCCACTCCTCTTCCTTTTTGTCTGCCCCATTTCCTGGGCTAAAAGGACAAATTCTAGACACTCTGGCCGCTGGGGTTGCCACATGCCATAGATCTGTCCCCTTGACCTGTGAGGTCATTCTGGGAGTCTGCCTTCCTGATGGAAGATGACCCACAGGGCTGGTACTGCGGTACTGCGTTCTCCTCTTTGCAACAAGTGTGGATGTGCCTGGAGCAGGGGAAGCCACAGTGCAGGAAGCAAGAGAAACACAGACATGCCTGGTCCAACGCGATGAGCGGCCGCCTGCCCATAGACCGTCTGAAGGTGTGACAAGTGAGCCTGTGTGAGGCCGGGAGCTGCAGTGAACGCCCTGCACAGAGCAGGCAGGCTCACCTGGGCGTGCTTGAAGATGTGCATGATGAAGATGGTCAGGCCCAGGCCGAAGATGTAGGCTGCGAAGCTGGTGTAGAAGTAGGTGTGGGTATTCTTCTTCAAGCTGGGGAAGAGGCGAGGAAAAAGAGGCTTAGCTGTGGGGCTTCCTGGGGAGCCAAGCCAAGGCTGCCAGGGAGCCTGAGGACCATGGGCCGGGAGCCTGGGGCTGTGTGCCGAGGCTGCCCTCCACTCTGTCTCTGGACTAATACTGCTCCTCGCATGTGCAGAGAGTGGGAAAACCAGGGGCCCAGCTGCCTGGTGGTTGTGAAAATCAAATGTTATAACGTAAGGCAGTGGCTCTATGACTTTGGCATTGAGGTTTTAATTTAACAGGGATGAGGTGGAGCCAGGAACCTGCACTTCACTTTTCCCCTACAGATCTCTGGCTCCTTGCCACCCATGTGTCCCTGGCACCTGGAATAGTGCCCGGAAAGGAGTATGTGTTCGATTAATGCCGTGGACTGAGAACACCTGCCTCCTTCTCCCCCTGCCTGGACTGCTTCTGAGCCTGAGCTGAGTGTTGAGCTCTCTTGCTGGAAAGCTGGGGTCCAGCTGACGGCCTCTGGGAACAGATTCACCCAGGGACCAGCTCCGAAGGGCTGGGCTCGTTCGCTCGGCAAGCACGGGCTGGGTGGGGAATCCAGCTGCCAAGGGTGCGGGCAGCTGAGCTCACAGCACCAGAGGGGAACCTCCAGGGAACCCTAGTCTCGTGGGTTTATCTGTGTCATTTCAGAACAGCCTCGAGCACAGGTAGCAGGGACAGACATGGCCCTACTTACACCCAGGTGGGCCCCTTTCCGGGGAAAGCCCATGTCCAGCAGGTCCCGTGTGACAGTCCAGACCACCCACGTGCACATGAGGGCGGAAGAGCTATTTCACGTGCTGACTTGATTTTGAAAGGGTTAGCATTTCTTGGGACTGTTTTTGGAGTTACCAAGCACAAGAAAATTAAGAAATGTTCATAAATCAAGATTAAGCATAAAAATTTGGGTGAAAAATCGAGCAAGCCCTTCCGGGTGCTGAGAACAGATGGTGAGCAGTCGCTGGTGCCACCTGCTGGTGGCTGGCTCGCTGGCCCCCTCCCTGTCCTCTGGCCTTATTTTCAAGAAAAGACTCAAAAGTCAGAGTAAGAATGGACGGGCAACAGCCAGAGCCAGATGGTGGGACACAGTAACCTGGCCCGGGATAATGAAAAACTATTAATTAATAATAGTAATAATAATAATAATAATAATAATAATACTGACGGCATCAGCTGAATTTTCCGGAGAAGCTGAGGTCACGACTCTCTACCATTAATTTAAGGAGGAACCTGAGGGTCAGAACTGTCAGGCCACTTGCCAAAGTCACACTGTCAGAGAGCCTTCTGGGGTGAATGTTTTGCGGCCCCAGGTTTTCCTTTCACATGTGAACTGCAGACATAGGACACTGTACAGGCTGGGCAGGAATGGAGGTGCCGGAGGGCTCCAGGAGGTCCTGGAAAGGGGAGCCTCTCACTCACTGGGGCTGTGGGTGACAGTCTCCACTTCAAGAAGCTTACCTGATGTCAAAACGCAGCAGCAAGGCGATGAAGATTCCTGTGACAGAAAGGCGCAGTTAAAGAGGGCCCAGGAAAGGCAGAGCCTCTGTAGCTTAGGGATGGAGGTGGAGCGCTCGTCTCAACTACTAAGAGCAGGACAGAGAACATGCTGACTGAGTCCTGGTCCCCATCCTGGTACCCCAGCCACAGGGCTGTCTCAGGGGGCCAACCACCAGCAGAAACCCTCCTTCTCTACCATCAACAAGAAGGCCCCAAGATTTTGCTTTCAACTGGGCCCTCACTGCTCCAGCATCCCACAGCAGGGTATAGGTTACCAAGTTCACAGAGGACTACGTTTACTAAGACTGGGCACTGTGGGCAGCAGAGGAACGTGGAAAATCTCTGCTCCTACTGAGTTCAGTGAAGGTGCAGAGGGTAGAGACTCAATTACCTAGTGAACGGGTGTTTCCTTCATGGCGGTGTAAAAAGGGGATGAAACCTAGGAGGGCATGATGTTCTAGGGCAAGAACAGCACATGCAAAGGCAAGAGGGCTCAGGGAATGTGGCAGAAACTGAGAAAGCCAGTTAAGTCTCAGCCTTGGGCCACTGATGCAAGGGTTGTACTGCCATGGGCCACAGAAGGAGCTGGATCTTTATCTCAAGAATAAAGGGGTGGTACAAATGTGTACGAATGAATGAAAACCCCTCTCTTTGTGACAGACAAGTGAGGAGATCTTAGAGGCTCTGTAGGTCTGCCTGCTGCAATATCTGGACTCCAGAAACCCCAGAAGGCCCAGTGACTTAAAGAGAGAAGTGGCTTTTTTTCTCATGAAAACTGTTTAAGGAGACCTGGTAGCATCGTGATTAAGTGCTAGGCTGCTACTCAACAGGTTGACAGTTCAAATCCACCATGTGCTCTGTGTGAGAGATGTAGCAGTCTTGGAAAGAGCAGTTCTACTTGGCCCTATAAGGGAGCTCTGGTGGCCTATGGGTAAGAAGCTGGGCTGCAATCACAAAGGCACATGGTTCAAATCCATCAGCTGCTCTGCAGGAGTATGGGCAATCTCTTCTTGTGTGTTACTGCCTCTGAGAACCTGGAAGGTCAGCTAGGAGTTGGTTCTAACTTGACAGCACACAAAAATTTGGCTCTATAAAGTGGATGTTGTGTGTTGTTACTTGCTACACTAGAAACTGGCTTTTAATTTGCTCCACTTTTTCTTCTGAGTAAGCATCGAGTGTTCTGGTTTCCCAACTCTGGGCCTAGGGGAATACCAGGGAGTCAAAGTCTCAGCCTTCAGCTCCCCTCAGAGGGCCAGCTCCATGTGCTCTGAAGTCTTTTGACTGGAAGTTTGTGCTGCTGGTTGCCCTGGTGGGGCGAGGCCAGGGATTCCTAAGGATGTAGGTCTAGACTTGGGACTGCAGCTGGGGCACCTGTGCCCAGAGCCACAGGTCCACTAAGGAACACTACATGTAGGAGCATGTGCACAAACGCCAGCTCACGCACACAAGCAGCTGCATGCACACTGGTGCCTACCCCAGTGAAGACTCTGCAGCCTTCAGATGTGGCCCACAGGCCCACACTTGGGGAAGGGGCACCAGGACATGCTGGTGGTTCCAGTCTATTTAAAATACCTGTAAACACCAGGAAGGAGCATGTGTGTCAGAGGAGTAGGGTTCCCATCTGACAGTCATGGAACGTGCTCCTTCTCAGTCTAGTCTATGATTACATTATTCTGTCCCAGAAGCTCCACAGGGACAGCCTTATTCACTGCTGTCTGCCCAGTGCACGGCTGGGCCAGGGCTGGCACGCCATCCCTGTGTGCTGAGGTTCAATCATTCACCAAACCCTGTGCTGACCAGTGGTGAGGCCAGTCCTCTTCCCGCCCCTAGACCCCCAATAGAAACACTATCAGTTTTGAAATAAGACCTCTGCTTCAGGGGACATCCTTCTCCACCCTGTACCATGGCCCTCGTCTTGGCAGGGTTACCTGGAATGACAATATCTCCGAGTCCCAGCATGGCAAAGTTGTCTGCTTCGAGGCCCTTCTCCAGCAGATCCTGGGGAAACACCACTGCAAGGGGAGGGAGGGTGTGAGGAGTTGTTGGAGCTCATTTTATTCCACTCCCAGCTCCAAGAGTGTGTTGGAAACCCCCCCATTCTATCTGGTGGAGGCCAGGGGGAAGGCAGGCTGAAGGGTGATGGCACCACCTGGAATCAGGGAAGTGGGGTGGAATCTGGGACCATCTGGGCCCCAGGTTTTGATGCCTTGAGATATGACTCACATTCCCCATTTTTCACAGGTATGGGATTGATCCTCTGGGTAAAAGGGACTGAATCAAAAGCCCATTGTTTGAGACATAAGCCAGCCCCATGCAGTGCTGCCATCTAACAGGGTGTCCTCTCTACCACAGATTTGGACAGATGCGTCCCTTTGAAGGAAGGAAGCCTGGGCTGTGGAGAGCTCTGTCTCCATTTTTTAGAGGTTGCAACCTGGACCCAGGGAGATTAAGTCTCCCCAGGGCCACACAAGCAGCAAGTGAGAGCTGGGATTTAAGCCCAGGAGACCTGGCTTCAGCATGGGCGCATGTACCCACTCTGCTCTCTGCCCTGAGCTGTTTATGGCAGAAAGCAATCCCAACCTAGAAAATGCGAATTTAAGTACCTGAGGCCAAATGGGGGTGCCATTTTCTTAGTACCCACCAATGGCCCGCCGCTGCTCACTAGCTGTACCCAGGCTCCCTGGCAAGACGTCCCTGCTACTGCCGCAAACTCAGCAACACTTCCCCGCTGGCTGTCTACTCTCAGGAGACCCCCCATATTTGCCTCCTCTAGCCCTTAGCTGAAGCAGTGTCTCCTATCCCACACCCTGCACGCATCCTAATGCACGGGGAAGCACTGCGGCTCGGGCCTGCCCAGCACTGTTCCGGACCACTGGCCTCCCTGCTGCACTCGGGTCTGGTAGCTGCCCCTTCAAATACTCAAAGGGCCGGGACACAGGCCTGTCCCGTCACACTCCATCGCCATGGTCGGAGTGACCAGCTCAGGCCCTTAGTTTTATTTAGGTTCATGTGGGGAGAAACTTGCTTTCTTCTGGGGTTGCTGAGCTGGGTCTGTTGGATCTGGGACCAGTGTGGCCACGAGCCCCTCCCTCGCTCCCAGAGAATCTTAACTGCAGGAGGGGACTGTGGGAAGGACACCGATTCTACACTCTCCGAGACGCACTTCCCCTCAACTGCCCATGGTCGAGTCAGCCTTCTCCCCGTAGACGGCTTTCCAGAAGCCTCTTTCCCTTCTCGGAGACCCTGGGTCCCTGAGGTAATGCCTGACAAGTCTACAGTTCAGCCTCATCCAGTTCTCCCACTCCCGAGCTGATAAACCAGTGTGGACACGGACACAGGCCTATGACCCCAATTCTGGCCAGTGAGATATGAAGGAGCTGTGGGGGAAGAAAACCCAATCTCTCCCCTTTCGGCCTCTGGAGAGCTGTTAAGAACTGTGGCAGCCATCTTACGACCAGGAGAGGATGAGCTGAAGGGACAGGAAGAGGAAGTGACCTTGGTTTGCGGGTTATTCCGCTGAGGCACTAGTTAATCCATCTCTGAGCGCCTCTAACGTTAAGCTTGCTGTCATGTGAGGTAACAAAATTTCCCCTTGTGTAAAGTGAGTTTCCTAATACTTGAAACCAGTGGAAACCAATGAAGAAAAAACCAAGGCAGTGAAAGGTGTGGGGCGGAGGCCGATGGTGAGGTGCTGGGGGATCCTGTGAGGGAAGCATCAGTTCTAAGGAAATCCCGGGGTCCCGTTCCCTGCTCTGTGCTTGCTCCCAAAGCAGCACCCCTCACACCTCACTGCACTATGACCCAGGGGCCTGACGTCACAGCCTGGCCAGAGGGTGGTGGCTCGTGGCTGCAGCCGAACGAATCAGTGAGGACCAGACCGGGCAGAGAGGCCTGGGGAGCCTGGAGGAGGGAGGTGGGAGGGAGGACACGGAAAAGAACTGACTGCAACAAGGGGTCACGAGGGGATGAGCCAGAGTAGGGGACAGTGTGGTGCATGTGGCCACTTACATTTTATTGGTGCCTCAAAGGACTTGGCTACTGTCACCATCACGTTGGTGCCAAATACCTGTAAGGAGAAAAGTGTGAGTGGGAAAGGATGGTCCTCTCTTGTCAACCTGAGACCCAGCTGGATGGGAAGCTGGAAGGTGCTCCAGAGAGACTGGAAGCTGAGGTCAGGTGGCCACTTGGTCACACGGGCACCTTACTGGGGGCTCCTGATTCTGGGAAGCGACGAGGGAGTCATCTGAGGGAGTCTGAAAAGGACTGCAGGTGGCCCAAGTCAGGTAAATGACATGGTCCGCAGAGAGTTATGCTGTTAACCCTAGAGTGGAGCTTCTCTGGTGGTTCGAATCCACCAGCTGCTCTGCCGAAGAGACGGGCAATTTCCTCCTGTGCAATTTATACTCTCTCAAAGCCCCCTGGAGGATCAGCTATGAGTTGATTCTGACTTGATGGCCATGGGGTTGAGGTTTTCCAGGCAACCCTTTCTCATGTGATGACATTTTCCATCACCATCTACTGAAGGCAGGAAGGGGCCACCTGAGGCAGGGGCCAGCCTGTCCTTGGTCCCGCCCAGGTAGTGAGCACCAGGTCATGCGTGGGCCCCACTGTCCCACCTCCCTGCCTCTCAACTTCCTGCTGGGGAGACACAGGGTTATATAAACCTCTCCAGAGCCACTGTGCTGACGTTAGAACCACGGGCAAGTGCCACCTCATGAAGGGCTCTTGGTGAATGGTGGAGGTTACTCTGTGGCCCATTTCACGGACGAGGGTAGCTGGGAGAGGACCTACTCCAGGGTTCTGATTTCTAGCTCAAGAATGTTCCAGTCTGTGATCTGCTGTCTCGGCCCGACTCACCCAGAAGACGTCGTAGATGAAGAGGCCGCCCAGCAAGATGCAGCCTGTGCTGACGTTGTTGAGGTGCAGGAGCTCCACCCCGTTGAGGGAGAAGGCCAGGCCAAAGAGGTTGTTGGCGATCCAGTGCTGGGGAAAGGTGGTTCGGGGGTGAGGCCAGCTCACTCACTCATCCCCTCGCCCTGGTGTTGCCCCTCCGGCTAGTGCCCAGCCTCCTCACCTTCCTCAGCAGGTACCAGACGCCAACGATGCTGCTCAGGCCCAGGCACACGAGGTCCTTGGTGTCAAACTCATAATTGATGATTTCTGGGCAGAGAAGGCAGGTCAGTCCACTCCCCAGGTTGCGGGCTTCCTCCCACCCCCTTCAGCCTCCATAGGGAGGAGGGAGCAGCTGTGGGGTCAGTCAGGGGTGTTGGGACAAGGAGAGCTCCCCGGAACTACTGCCAGCCCCCCATTTTCTGTGAGGAAGTAGGCTCAGTCAGCGAGGCTGGGCATGGAGGCTCTGAGGACAGAGCTGGCTGGAATCTGGACTCTGTCACTGGTAACTGAGTGACTCTGGGGGAGGCAGTTCCCTCTCTGAGTGTCTGTTTCCTCATCTGTAAAAAGGGGACAATGCTCCCACCTTAGATCGCCGATGTGGGGAGTAAACGGGAGCATACTTAGAAAGCGCTCAGCTGAGCAGGTGCTTGGTCAGTGCCCAGGTCACGGTGTCACCGATCCCTGGCCTTTAGCCGGGTCAGTTCAGCTTGGGATCTTTCTACTCTGCCAACAAGGGAATCAAAAAGGTTGCTGGCAGCCCATTCCATTTGAAGTGCAGGAAGAAAGTGCAAAGTGGATACCAGCAGAAGCCTGGAGAGGAGCAGGCCGGAGTCCCTGAGATTGCTCTTGTGGGAACCCCAAGAAGACACCCAGATGCTAGACCCGCTGTCGACAGTCTCCAAATGCCCAGAGGTCAACCAAGGGCGAAAGGTAAAGCAATTTCTGACTCCTGAGTGCAGGGAAGCCTGGATGGCTCCAAATTCTGTCCCCTCTTTCCTCTGTGGTAACAGAACCCTGATGAAGTCTAACTGGATGTGAGGCCAACTAGTTGACTGACACATTTGTCAGCTTTCCCGGCAGCTAAATGGGGGACATGTGCTGGCTTCTCCTGTCCTTCTGGGTGGAATGAGGAAGGCCAGGTGCTTGAGCCGGGCCCAGAGGGGACCCCCGGGCACAAGAGAGCTGAGTTTGGGACTCTGTGGTGCTGACTTGTCTTGGCATGTTTGACTTCTGACTTTTTAAAATCCAATGAGCATTTATGGGTCACAGGCGCCCTGGAGATGCAGAAAGGAAACATGTTCACTCACTGCTTTCTAGGGATGAAGTGGCATGTGGCAGGCACCAGTAAGAGCCTGACACCTGGACAGAAACACCTTCCACTTGGCGAAGCCATTTCTAGCTTATCCACAAAGGCCAGGCTTCCCCCAATTCCCCATGGTTTCCAGCTTGATTAAAATCATGGAAACAATTATCAAACCTCGCATGGGATACTAAACACGCTACAGAGAATGATGATATATGGTCCAGAGGTGGGCAGTGGGTGGGGCCAGGCACTGTACTGTACCTTCCGTGTGCCCCCTCCCTATCTAGCAGCGGCCCCAGCAGGGAAGTGGTACGAGGTTACTAATTTCTTTTCTTTTTTGCCCCCACTTGTTGTGTGCTATAGAATCAGATCCGATGGCACAGGAGGAGACTGCCCCTATTTCTTCAGTAGAGCGTCTGGTGGATTCGAACTGCACACCTTCAGGATTGCAGCACAGCTTCTTGCCACTAGGCCACCAGAGCTCCCGAGGTTACTATTTCTGTTTAACAGATGAAACAGCAGCAGCACCAGCCAAAACACCCCAAGGGTCAGAGAACACGGAAGTTTGTAGGCAGCAGCAGAGCTAGGAGAAGAGCCCTGGTCTTATGTTCAGGAGCCCCGCTATCCTGTTCCCTGTTCTCTGAGGGACTCTAGGGCCCAGCAGGAGAGGCCAGGTGGAGGGGAAGACCCCCGGGGCCCAGCTCACAGTTGGGGGAAGCGAAGCGGCAGTACTCACCTTCTTTGTTTTCCCCCGAGCCTTGCGTGAAGAGCAGCTGGTATTGTCGATTTGGGAAGTTGGCTGGAAAAAACTTATTCATGAAGGGGCTGAAAGGGAAGACGAAGGAGGTTGACCAACTGAGTCCTCATGGGTCACACACCCAGGCTCCCCATTCACAGTGTTCTATCCCTGCTTCCGAGCAGCTGCCCTGAGAGGCTGACTTTACTATTCTTAACATGTGCAAATGAGGGGAAGTGACTTGCCCAGGGTGATAAGGAGAACCGTGTCTGAGCTGAAACTTTGAACCTCAGTCTCTGTAAGTACTCTGTCCTGTCTTCTGAGCACCATTAACAAAAGAGAAAGCTGAGGGAGACAGACTTCCAGGCACAAAGCAATATTCAGGAGAGCATGGATTAGAAAATCTGGCCAGTGCACACATCCCTGTGCGACGTGTAACCTCAGGAGACCCTAGGTCTGTTTGGGAGTGGTGGTCAGCCCAGCTTCCTTAAGCTGTCCTGTCTCCTGCACCTTCACCAACTGCCTGTGCAGTCAGACAGACAAGCTCAGGACCCCACTCTGCTCTTAACACCTGCCAATCCGGTGGCATTAAAGCCTTCTGAGTCACAGTGTCCCTGTTTCACAACTTTGGATTCAATGGACCTTATGCTGCCTTGTCCAGGACTCGCATTTCTGGACCTCCTTCCGGACCTGAAGGTGTGATGGTCACCCCTCACCCAACGCAAACTCAGATGAGAACTGCTGCTTCTCCAGCAACAGGCTGGACTCAGCCGGCTTCCTGTCCAGTCAAGACCAGCTTGCTCTGCTCTGGCAATAGTCTCATCACCCAGCAACCTGCTTCCTGGCTGAGCAGGGAGTCTTTCTCTTCTGGGTCCTTCTTCAGAGCAAGAGGAACAACAGGGCCTCCTGGCCTGTGGCCATCCTCCTGGGTGGCCAAGCCATCAATCCTTTCTCTGCCACACACCAGCTCTGGAGCCCTAGCTGAACCATTTCTGCTCCCTGAGCCTCAGCTTCCTCAACTTGCTGTGAAGATCGGAGAGACAGCAGGTGAGCTGCCTGGTCCATCACTGGACTCACAGCAGGTACCTAGGTCCCCGGGCCTTCTGTCATCTAGACACTGTCCACAGCCTGAGCTTGAAAGTCCTATCATGGCCACAGGTCATACTAATAATGACTGACGAGGCAGGCAAATCCAGCACGGCCTCCTCGCTGGGACAGGCAAGCCAGGGCCATGCCGGGTCACATAAGTGAAGGTGAAATGAGCTAGCTCTCTTCCTAAGAACCTGGGGCGGGGGAGGGGGGGGAAGGTCATGGACAGACTTCAAGAAGTGTGCTGGGTCTCTATCTTCCCATTGTCATGAGTTGGTGGTCCCTCTGCACTCGCAGGGCAAGGGTGTGACTGGACGGGACACCTACACAGTGATGTGGGGGCCACACAGAGGGCTTTGGAGCAGCATCCGGAAGCTGAAGACAGCATGGAGGAAGCTAGAAGCTGCTTTCAGCTCACTGTGCATAGCTGGGGGTGGGGTGTTTGGGGTGGGGGAGTGTGGGCAGGAATGGGTGGAGTAGAGGAGGCCCACAGAGGCATTCACTTCAACCAGGCCTCTTCCTTAGGACCCTCCCCAGGAGGCAGAGTGCAGGGGTCAAGAGCATGCAGTTAGACTTCATAGGTTCAAACTCCAGCCCTGCCATGTACAGGCTCCGTGACTCTCTGTGGAACTGTGCCTAGTCTGGAAAACTGAGACTCCAGTCCCTTTCCCTCAGTGTTAATGCTTTTATTACCCCACAAGGAGAGGGGCTTCTGGGTGACCCAAGGACAAGAGCCAAGGATGGAGAGGCTGAGCGCAGCACTTGCACACCTCGATGCTCCTAGGCCAAGCCTGGCGTCCATCTGGCATCCGCTTGTCTGGCACCTGCTTACCGACTGCCTCTGAATGTGAGCTTTGTAACAGGAAGTCTCTGCCCTTGCTGGTTCCTAAAGGTCACTGCTTCCCACAAAGAAACCACATCCCAGAGCCCTCCTCCCCTGGGAGAGGGAGGAAGGGTCAGCAGAGCTGGTGACGTGGCTTCTTCCTCCTGGGGTGGCAACTTTTTGGATTTGGGGCCCTTTCTTTTCTAAAGGTCAGCTGGGTGGGGCCTGGCTCAGAGGTGGTCAAAACAAGCCAGGTTCCCTTAGAGGGAGTCAGGGCTGTGGTTTGGGCTCATCTGAGTCTTGGTGAACAATGAGGGTGTTGGCATGGCAGACTGCCTTCACTTAATACCCCAACTGTGCCGTTTTCTTGAAATGGGTGGAGTGCTGGTGGAGATGGAAGGGGTCTTGAGAGCGCCTGGGTGGGGGCTGACCTGCCTGGAGCTCATCAGGCCTGTGCTGATCCTACAGGTCTGTTCGGGAGGGGGCAGCCAGTCTGCCCTCCTTATAAGCTCTCTGGTCAACCTTGCCAGACTTGGATAAGCAGGCAGGCTCAGAACCTCACATTGTGCTTAACAAAATGAAACAAAACTCACTGCCGCCTACCCACCACACCAAATCTGTTGCTCTAAGTCCATTTTCATTCTCAGTGACCACACACAACAGAGCAGAACCACCCATAGGGCTCCAAGGGGGTAAATCTTTACAGAAGTAGACTGCTACATCTTTCCTCTGTGGAGGGGCCTCTGGCTTCCAATCGCCCACCTTATGATTAGCAGACAAGTGTTGAACCACTGAGTCACTGGGGGCCCCTCTCCTCTGCCCTCACCAACTGTGAGTCCCGATGGTAACAGTCCTCTGGGCCACAGTGTCCCTGCTCAGAACCTTTGGCTGGACCTTGTCGCTGGTGTCCCGCGGGAGGACTGACTAATTTTGTGGACACAAACAGCTTCTCTAAAGTCTAACGACGTCACTGGATTTCCATTAAAAAAGCATTTCAGAGAATGCAAATTTCATCCTCATATCCACTTACTAAACAGCACGATTATGCTCCCCTTCTTTTCATATGGGTAGGTTCTTCTCTATGTAAATTTTACAAGATTTCACTGCTCTACCCTGTCTGGGATCTTTCCGGAGGAAGGCTCTGAGTAGAGGAGCAGCCCGTTGTCCTGTCCTTCACAGGGTCCATCCCCCTATCCCTGAAAGAACAGCCTTCCTGAAGGTACAGGGAGACTGTGGTGCATCCTCCTACAGACCCCTCAGAGCTAAGCCTAGGGGCGGGGGGATGGAGCGGGCCCAGGGAAAGCACAGGCCACAGGCCAGGCCAAGGCAATACAACGGCCAATTTTTTGCTTGAAACTTTTATCAAGAAAACACTTCTTCCTGTTCATTTCTTTTAGCACTAACAAATTTGAACATGTATAGTTTGAGCTGCTGTTATTTTCCCTTTCTGTTGTAAAAAATTATGGCTTGGCCAAAAGACAACAAGTTTCTGTGGGAAATTTGGGACAAAGTCCCTTGGCTCTTACTTTAAAAGGGGGGAAAATTTTTTTGGTGCTACCATGAGAGAGGTTCACAATGCCCTGCTTGGTCACCTGATGGAGGTCAGTCAGGTCTCTTGCATGGTAGCTGGGAGACAACTTTTTGGCGGTGGTTGGGTCATGGAGGGAACTGAGGAGTCTCTGGTCTTGGGGACCGCATAGATGCTGAGGTGAGCTGGGATGGAGTTGGGAGAAGGATCATAAACAACATGGAGAAAGGAGAGGCCCCAGTGCCTAACACCCTGTGCCAGACAGCAGAGTGCTGTCCTGTGAGGAAGTGTGTGCAGGTCAGCCATGATCTTGCCAGCTCCATGTCCCTCAGGATGCCCAGGGCTTCCGGCTCACTTGGTCCTGACTGCCCGCACTGCGAGGGCCCTTGGATCTCCATCTTACATCGAAGCAAAGGATGCTCAGGGAGCTGGAGGAACTTGTAGAATTACAGCACCATCAAGGTCAGATCTAGACGATGACATCGCCCTGCCAATGTGCCCACAGGAGGGAGGTCAAACCCTCCCTGGCTTTCAACACATCCTCTCTCCAGCTCCTCTTCACTGGCTGTAACTGTGGAGTTTCTAACAGTACCTTCAATGTGCACACAGCCCTTCTAATGCCCAGCCTCTCCCGTGCCCTGGCACCTCCTCCAGGGGTCCCACCTTCAGAGGTGAACTCAAGTCTGAACTTCAGTTTTTCTGAATGTACTGCAGGACTAGAAGTACAAGATGACCTTACGGGATACCTGGCAGGATACCACAGAGAACAGTAATAATACTGACAATAGCAACAACGAAACATCGCTAAGCTACAGAAACCACCTATAACGCCAGACACTGTGCTACAATGAGCTTCCGATGTGACCCCTCGAGAAAGGTGCTGTTTTCTTCTACACTCAGGTAAGGAAATTGAGGCCAGAGAGATTAAGTAACAGGGTAACAGGGCTATTAAATGGCAGGGCCTGGATTCAGAGGTAGTCAAATTCCAGAGTCCACACTCTCAATGTCTGATGCTCTCCTGTTCCTCAGGGAGACCATGTAAGGAGTCCCGTCAGGGCGTGGTAGGTGGGACTGTGCTTACCTCAATTCTGTAACAAAAAACATGGACCTCCTTGTTCACAGACAACTTCCCTGACACCCGCACTGGTGGACGGTGCCGCCGCCGCCATCATCACCATCATCATCATCCCCAGCCAGGAAACTGTGGCCCAGAGAGGTTCTAGCTTTTGTCCTAGGTCACCCAGTGTGCCACAGGAAGGGAGGGGGAAGATCCCCTCGGATTTTACAGCTTGGATTCACACCTGGCTCATGGTGACACCAAAGGTCACACTCTTACCCAAGACCCTGAAAGGCCCCTGAGAAAGTGGCTTCAAATACTGCAGGCAAATATGCCTTCTGACCTGATGGTGTGGGACAGGGCCAGGATCCCCAGCACGAAGAAATACATGGACAGCAAGAGGTTGATGTACTCCTGGGAGAAGATCTGAGATGGAAAAACAAGAGAAATGGGAAGTTAGGCTTGCTGGAGGCTAGAAGAAAACTGGAGCTCCCTTGTTTCTTCTGTAGGTGGTCACAACCCTCTGGAGTTGGGCGACAGGGTCAGGAGGAATCTCAGACACCCCTGGGGGCCTTCTAGTTTCTGTGGCTGTGAGAGAGAAACAAATCTCAAGCTCCTGGAGGCACCGCCTGAAGGAGTCTGCAGGGTTCTGCTTGGTGGGTCGTATCTGGGGACATATAATCCACACTGTTCCCAAAACAAACTGTCTGATCCTCAGAAAACACACTCGAGTTTCTTTCTCCCTGCTCAAAGCATCTAGCAAGCCTTTCCAGAGTGGCCAACAGTCCCTAGGCATGCTGGTTACTGGTCACCTATGCATTCTGCTCTATCCTCAACGCTTTCTGGACAAAAGAGGGAAATCTGCACTCATGCAATTTACAGCCTTAGAAAACCTACTGGAAAGTTAGCTGGCTGTAAACCCAAAGGCTTGTGGTTCAAATCCACCAACTGCTCCTCAGGAGAAAGATGGTCAGACACCTCCTGTGTGATTTATAGCTTCTGAAAACCCTCTAGAGGGTTCCGACATGACAGCACCTGACCAATTCCCACAGTGGGGGTGGATGCTGTGACACTGACCTTGAAGGCCCCTTCTGGACCTTCATGTAGGTGAACCTGGGAAGTGTTCTCTTCACAAAGCTCCCAGCACACTGCACCATGTTAATCTGAAGTTTGCTGCATCGCCCCGACTTTGTTGTTGTGATGGTTGCTCAGTGAGAGGGAAGAGCACGCTCTTGGAGGTGCAGGGACACTAGCCACTGTGAAGGAGGCTGTCAGGGAACATGTGAACCACCTCCGATCACTCTGCTTCTCAAAACATCCACCCGCTCATCTGAGCTGGAGGCTCCAGTCCTCATCTCAGCCTCTCCTCACTCCACACTTGCTCTGTTCTCCAGGACACCCGCAGGTGTGGGTGGCCTGGGCTTCTTTTCTCTCACTGCCCAAGATGCTCACCTGCCTCACTTCACCTGGACCACCTTATTCATCCTCCAGCTCTCAGCTCAGAGAAACACCCCTTGACATGACGCTCTCTCATCAGCACCTATTAACTGCCTGCTGCTGGCTCGGGCCAGGGACTGTGCTCAATACGAGGAACATCGTAATGAGTAAGACAGACAAGGGCCTTATGGGGTTGGGTTATGTGCCACTGAAGGGACAGACTTAGCAGAAGCAAATACTTCCAGGTGCTGATGGATGCAAAAGAGAAAGCAAAGAGATAGAGGGCGACGGGGGAATGTGAGATTAGACTGGTAGGCAGGGAGGGCCTTCTGATGAGACGACACTGTGGCAGAACCCTAAATGAAGTGAGGGGACAGGTCATGTGGATATTCAAGGGAAGACCAAGTACAAGGTTTTGAGATGGGTGTGCAACTATGTTGAGCAGATGCAGGGCCAGGAGCCTGGGGCTGAGGAAGGGAGGGCAGAGTGCTGGAAAGAGGCTGGGGGGATAGAGGGACGGGGAGGAAGCAGTCAGATGCTGCACATGTTTTCATCTGGATGAGACAGGTGCTGGAGGGCTCGGGGCATGAGAAGATTCTGCTCTTATGTCTTAGAGCAGGGCAGAGCAGAAACAGAGGCCAGAGCGGAGGGAGGAAGTGCCCCAGACTGGAAGGAGGCAGGGAAGTGACCAGCAGTGGCCGACCACAAGTCTGTTCTCAAGCTGGAGCTGGAGCCTGCCCTGAAGAGCTGAGGGGGAAAAGCAGGGATGTTAAGGACTCAGGGGTCTCGGGCTGCACAGCAGGGGAGTGCTGCTGTCCAAGGTGGTGACTCGAGAAGAGGGTTCACCCCAGTGGCTCTGTGGTCTCCTTCATATCACTCGTGAAAGCGGAACTTGCCATTTATCTGTAATTATGTGGTGTCCATCTCCATTGTGCATGTAACAAAATGATCCAGAACCATCTGCTTTTCTCACTATGGTGGCCTGGCACCCAGCACAGGGCCCAGCATGTAGCAGATACTCATCAACTATTTGCAGAATAATTCACGAACACACTGGTGATCTACATTGTGAGTACTATGAGAAAAGGACCTGCTGGCTTGTGGACAGTTTTGCGGTGTGCCTCTCACACATATCTATGGGGGTCCTGGAGACAAATGGGCCATTGGCTGCACCTCTGAGCTCTGGTTGGTTTGACTAAGGATTGTGCACCAAGCCTCACTTTCTTTTATGCTTTGCTGGCTGGGAAGCTGGGGCCAAGTCTATGGTCACGGACAAAAACATAAGATTTCAAAGCATGGAGTCTGTGTCCCATTGTCACTCAAGGCTTCATTGCTTCCCTTCAGTTTAGTTTTCTTTTCCACTTCAATTTCCTCCTTTGTTTTACTTATACTGTGGGGCTTAATTTCTAAAAGCTGCCTCAAAGACAGCAGCTTTAAACGGGGTGGGAGAAATCAAATGCTGTGACTCTGAGGAATGATACAAATCGTAGTACCCTGATCAGGAGGAGGGATGAAGGGGGTCAGTGAAGGCCACTGGAGTTCTTTTTCTAGAAAACCAAGCAATCAGTGTCAGCCTGAGGTTCAAAACGAGATGGGTGGCTGTTTTTCAGGTAGTTGCTGGTCAGCAATCTCAACATGGACACACCTAGGCTGGGGCGCAGGTGTGCCCTGTCCTCCTGGTACCTGATATGTTAGGGCCAGGGACAGTTTTGCTCAAAAGAGTTGAGGCTTACCTGCCTGGAGAGGAGGGCAGGTTGGACAAGAGGCATCCAGTGCCTTAAATAAAAGCATTCACAGCCTCTGGTGACAGGTTGGTTTTTTTAGTATGTTAGCCTAAGGAAAGAATGCTAAATACATTTTACAGCAGAAGATTTTAAGCCAAGGGACTGGGTGTGTATTCCTGGAAATGAGCACAGTAGAGACTTGAGAAATTGCTGGGGGAAAAAAATTGAGCCAGAGGCAATGGATTAGATGAACAAAGAGCAAGTGAGAGAGACCTAAACAGTGCAGGAGAGAGGAAATGGAACAGGGGAATGCCCAGCACAGTTCTATTTACAGAAGGCAGCCTCTCCCTCACACACACAGCAGCACTAACACTATCTAGCAGGCAACATACATCAAACGCATAACAGCAGGTTCCTCTTGCAGAGAGGGAAATGAATCGGGGACTCAGGGTGCAGGGGATTAAGAACCAAAGACAAGGTCTTGGTGTGGACTGATTGTCATACGGTATGAACAAAGGCACGTGATAAATACACTTCTGCACCCTAAGTTCCAGGAAAAGAAGAAGAAAATAAAGATCTGTTTAAAAAAAAATCAACGAACATCTATGGTTCCTGAATCACTCTCATTCTATTAAATGTACAAATCAAGGTTTAATGTAATGCTTTAAGTAAACTCATAACACTATTACAAAGAGGGCTTTTGATGTACCAATGAGGGGCAAGGGGATAGGAAATAGGTATTAGACATTTGGCATCACCTATTTAAGCTCTAGGGAATCCAGGTAGTAAAGCAGTTAAGAGGCTTGGTTGTCAATCAAAAAGCTAGTTGTTTGAGGGCACCCACAGGTGCCTCTGAAGAAAGGCCTGGTTGTCTCCTGAAAAAATCAACCACTGACAACCCCACGGAGCACACTTCAGTCCTGACCTGTGTGGGGTCACCATGAGTTAGAGAAATGATTTTCTTTTCTTTTTTTAAAAAGGACTCTAAATTGCAAATGTTGTTTGGCCTGGTAATCTCACTGAGGAGGTACCTGAAAACATGCCAAGCCATGGTGGTGGTGGTCAAGCTGTGACAAAGCCCCCTGCTTAGCCCTTGGTGGGCCACCTGAATGGAACCATAAGCAGCCATGAAAGAAAACGAGGAGACTCGGGCTGGGCTGGTACAGAAATGTCTCTGTGCGAACAATCATGCTTACTGACGTTTCTATAGCCCAACACAGAATAAGCAGAACAGAACTTTTTAGCAGAAACTATATTAGGCTCTTTCGTATCCTTCCTTAAGGTTTAATTTTCTTAAAAAACCCTATAAAACACGAACACCTATTTTTATTATTTTATTTTTAAAATTACTTTTTTATTATTTTGTGTGTGTGTACCATCAAATTGGACCTGACTAGTACAGGAGGAGACTGCCCCTCCTTCTCTAGCAGAGCATCTGGTGGATTCAAACCGCATACCTCTGGGATTGCAGTGCAGCTTCTTGCCACTAGGCCACCAGAGCTCCCTGAACATTTATTTTTAAAAGGTACAAGAATGTACTTCTTGTCTTTGAAGAATTTTCAACAACCATGAAAAAGGTACCTCATTAAAAAGAAAACAAAATGAGGTATATCATTAAGAACAAAACAAAAAATTTTACAGCTATTTTATCAATACATTAAAAATACTTATTAAAAGCTTCTAGGAGCTATCTCAAAATATCAATAGTAAGTATCCACGTTATTTAGTTTCCCTCTTTTGCTATGTCTGTCTTTAACTTTTCTGCATATATTACTTTTAGAATCACAGAGTAGTACAAGCTGGTATTTAGAATAGAAAAAGAAAAAAGAAAAGCGGAGCAGTTGCAGAAATATGAGGAAATGCTTATGATGGCAGTGGCCTGAGTGGGAAAGCAGCTACAACACCGAACACACCACATGGCTGCAGGCGGGGGGGCACCGTGCAGAAGAGCGGAAGGACACACCTCCGGAGGGAGACGGGGACTGTCCCTGCCACAGGGGTTTTGGATGGCTGCTGTTTTCCCCTTTTTACTTTTCTGTGTTTTCCAGGTTTTCAACACTGAGTCTGTGTAACTTTTATTGGGAAAATAAACCTCAACAGATTGAAAACAAGAACAAAAAGCAATTAGTATGGTGGAAGTCTGACACAAGCCATCTCCCATCCCGACAAAAACACAATGAAATGTGAACTGCTATCATAAACAAAAAGCTACACAGGGGAAGGGGGGGGAAGGTTGGAGGGAGAGTGTTCCATACACATAGCAGCGCTCTTGCTGGGTTGTGGGCCAATGATTAGCCTTCCCCTGGCTCTTTTACTTTCTAGAAACAAACATGTATGGCTCCTGTGATGAGGAAAAGAAAACAAAACAAAGGAAAAGAAACTTATTAGAACCAAATAATACACAACAGGTAGCAAAGGACTTACTTTGAAAAAGAGGTAGAGGCCCAGGAGCGTGCAGCTGGCGATGATGGGGAAACGGGCAGCGTCTCGGCTGGTGATGGTCTCCGGCATGTCGGAGGCGTTCTAGAAAGAGGATCACAGGCCAGAATAAGAGGTGCACTGCAACGTGGACTCTGGGGTTAGGGAGGAAACTGTGTAACAGTGAATGATTTTTTTTTTAAATTAAAGTGAACTGGAAGAGGTAGGGAGGAAAATGTACAATAAGGAATGAATGAAAATCCAACTTTAAACTTTCACTAAAATCACAATAAAAAGAATAGATTTTAAAAAGACTGATAAAAAGAAACAAGCCAAGATGCAAGGAGCGGTGTTCCAGAAGACGGGGCTGACCAGGTGGGGGTGCAGTTCAGGCTCCCCAAGCTGGATCCTAGCAGACACTGGTTGTTCTAACAGCAGTACTCACTCGTGGAAGAGGGGGAGCTTTACTCTGGCACCTCCAACAGTTTTCTGCCTCTGGGCTATTTATTGTCTCCTCAAGATGTTCTGCCCCTGCCAGGCCAATGTCAAGAGATCTGGATCTCAACAGCCAGGGAAGGCCCAGGGCACATGCTGTCTACCGGGGTGGGGGTGAGGGCGGAGCATAATATGTAATAATGGGGTGAAAAACTGGGGGCAACAGAACAACTGGAGAACATTAGGAGAATAACTTCCAATTTTCTTACATTTAGCAAGAAGTAAATATAATTAACTATATTTTCCAACGACCCTTACTCAGTAGACAGGGAACTCTCCTGGCCTAGTGGTAAGGAGCTGTGCTGTCAGTCTGGAGGCATGTGGTTTGAATCTACCAGCTTCTCCAAGGGAGAAAGATAATCTCTTCCTATTTGGTTTATTGTCTCTGAAAATTCACTGGAAGGTCAGCTATGGGTGAATTCTGACTCCACAACAACAGTCTAGTAGATAATAAATAGAAATAGAAATAAAACAACACAAAATCAAACTAACAATGCTGAAAGTGGCACACATGCCGATTATCAACTGACAGGAGGGTCAAGTCTTGACAAAACAGAAGCTTAAGAGGCCCAACCTGGAAAATTCAACATGGTAGAAACAAAATCCATGACAAAATTTGTAATGGCAGATGCTACGTTGGCAAGAGAACGATGTGGGCAAAGAGCTGGTGGAAGGTAAATATTTGCACGAGAAAGAACTGAACACTGTCAAAACAATGTCAGTCTTTTAAAAAGAGAGAAACCTGGAAATTAACATTGCAATACGGGAATTAAATTGGCTTCATGGCAAGAAATACTCTGTTAATGAAAAATTTATAATGGTAGTTTATTTCTGGTTAAAATGTGTATTAAAACCATGAAGTTAAAGTTTTCAGGACTACAGGATTCTAGCTGTACCCTCACTGCTAGTCAAGATCCCGCAGTCCTCTAAAGACAGCTCCAAAGCCACTGCTATGAAGTTTGCCCCCGGGACCAGCCTCCTCAAATACACACCCCAAAGCCTTTTAGATATTTTATGTCATAGTTACTAAAAGCCTGTGCTCCTGGCAATGAGGAATTCTCTTCACACAGCCACAGGCTCACCCCAGACCAGAGATTCCACCACTGGTCTATCGTCTCATGAGCAAGGGCACTCGCAGCTGTGGGAGACAGCACTGTTCATCTGTGGGGTCACTAATATTCCAGCTCTGTCTGGAGAGGGTAGGCCAAGAGAAGAAGGGTCTGCCATTAACTAGCTAATCCTGATTCTTTCCCCTCAAGAATTTAGGCAAATTCAACGAATAGCTTGGAGTGTCCCGGGGTGGAGAGCTGCAGAAAGGGACCGAGATGGGAGTTTTGGGGGCAGCAAGGACATGAAACAGTACGGGGAGTTCCATAATCACACATCCTGGGCATCAGTGCAGACTGGTTACGAGGCATGCAACTCCTTGGCAGTGGGCAATTTAGTTTTCTTCTGTTCCTAAGGAAATCACACAAGGTCAATGAGAAGCAACTGACCTGATGGAAAAGGATCACCCAGAAGCTCACTGCTGGCTACTATGCCCCAGGAGGGAGGTCCCTGGTGAGTCTGAAAAGGCTCCTGGAACTTCCTGCTGGAGCTGAGACTTTGTGTTCTAGGAGAAGGGGTGAGTCCAGCCCCAGCACATATGGAAGCTCTGTTCTAACCCCTCACCTCCATCCTTGTCCCAACAAAAAAGAACCTCAGAGAGAGAGGGAGGGAGGAGGCAAAGGAACCCAACAAGCTAAAGCGAACACTGATGTCTTACCATGGTACTGTTATCTGAAAGGCAACCCTGGTTTTCTTTCACTAGGTTTGTCATTTGCCGCTTGTTACCTATCTTAACAATTAGAAGTAGCTTTCACTGACAGCCAAGGTGTCTGGACTCAAGGGGAAGAGGCAGACACAGCACCTGTGGAGGGCGCACTCCTGCTAGCTGGGGCCCTCTGTGAGCAGCAGTGCAGGGGTGCAGCACGCGGTGGGGGCAGAATGCAACAATCCCGCGGCTGAGGTGAGCAGTTAGCACACATGACGGCTAGTGGAAAGGCTGGTGGTTTAGGTCCACCCAGAAATGCCCCCAAAGGCTGGAGGATCTTTTCCAAAAATATCAACCACTGAAAACGTTATGTAGGGACAATGGGGCTGTCATGAGTTGGAGCTGATATCACAATAGTTTTTTTTTAAAAAAATATTCGTATATATGTTGTTGTTGTTGATTGCCGTTGAGTCGAGCATGGCTTAAATACTCGGGGCATGTTATGAGGAGGGCCTGATCCCTGGGGAAGGACGTCATGCTCAGTAAAGCAGAGGGCCAGTGAAGACCCTCAATCAGATGGACTGACACTGTCGTAGGACAATGGGTTCCAGTCCAGCAGCAACTGTGAGGATGGCACAGGACCAGATGGGTTTCACTGAGGTGGAACCAACTAGACATCACCTAACAACCACCACCACCACCACCACCAGGCTCCAGTGTTTCGGTCTTCTAAACAGAGGACACAAGCAGAGGACTCAGGACGTGAACTACAAATGTTCTCTAAGTGAGAAAAAAAATGTTCACATTGACTCTCTGTAAGACTCTCAAAATATGGCAAGATTCCATTTTTTCATCCATCATGAAAAACTCCTAAGAAGATAAAACTTACTGAGACACTCAAATAATGGCAAAAACTCACATGCCTGATAACATACTAAATCGTCTGGCTGTGGGCAGAGGTGTTCAACCACAGCTGATGTGACAGCAAACCAGTATACACCCAAACTCTTTGACCAAGCAATTTCATTCCTGGGAGGCTTCTGACCAAGTAAAATTCAAACACTTGCTAAACAATTAATGTGTGAAGTCCATGCGAGGTGAAGGCCGGCTGGCATGACGGCTAAGCCACTGGGGGAGTTTAACAGCCAGTCATACTTGGTTCTGCAGGAGAGAGACATGGCAATCTGCCCCTGTAAAGGTCATGGCCGAAAAAACCCTGCAGGGCAGTCCTACCGTCATATGGGGATGCTGTGAATCAGAACTGACCCCAAAATACCCAATGGCAATAATATAACCACTGCTCCCTTGACAGCTTACAGACAGGAAGGCTGAGGTAAGACACTGGTCCTCTGAGCTCTTTTACTCATCAGTTAAACAGGGTGATACTCTATAACCACACTCAGTTCTAAAAGAGCCAAAACGCTCAGGCCTAATGAAGTCCAGTGTGTGGAGAAGTGTGGTGAGGGGTGGATCACCACTGCCACTCCAGTGCACAGGGCGGTGGCAGGCCTCCACCACCTCTGGCTGCTGTGAGTCACCTCTGAGGCTTTGGCAGGGCGATGGGGTTGTGGGGGAGCAATGTTGACACCGAGGGGCAGAGCTTCCTTCCTCCCTCCTCTCTTCCAGCTCTCGGTTTCTACTTTTGGCAGCAGCGTGCTGTGGAAGTTGGGCAAGTCTCTCAACAGCTCTGTGCACAAACTGTCCGGCAAGTTAATGCGCTTCCTGCACAGCAGTGCCGCTGAGTGTAAAAGGGAACCGGTTTACAGGCAGGCAGGCAAGACCCTCAGACGTAAACAGGTTAGTGTAGTACTCAGTGACAGGGACACAAGACCACAGACATGTAGAACGATGTGAGACACAGTATGTGTCCCATATAGCCGAGATGGCTCTGATGTCAGAAAGCTCAGTCTCTTCTACTTCATCCCGGCGAGGGGACCCTGGGAAAGTTAATTTCCCTCTCTCACCCCCTTAATTTTCTCAGCTGTAAAATGGGTTGTGGGAATCCTGGCAGAGAAAGCACTTAGTGCTGTGCAGGCCACACAAGCTATGTCAACAGCTCTGTTTATAAAGAGATGGCACAAACGCAGACAAGACACAAGCAGTGCCTGACTGACACCGGCGTCCTGTTCTGATGGCTTCGTGGTAAGTCAGTTCTGATGTAAGTTAAATGTCTCTTTTTAAAAAAGAATTTTCATTAATTGCCTTTTATCAGTAAGGAGCCCTTGTAACGGGAGTAAGATATGGGGCTGCTAATCTAGTGGTCTACTGGGTAAGGAGTTGTGCTGCCAATCCAAAGTCAGGGAGTTTGGATCTACCAACTGCTCTGATGCAGAAAGATAGGCAATTTCCTCCTGTGTGACTTTATTGCCTCTGAAAACCCACTGGAGGGTCTGTCAGGAGTTGGTTCCAACATAATCACTACCACCACCTCAGTGATTTGGAATCAGCACTCACTCACTCGCTGGAAAAAGAAGAGGGGGAGTCGGGCGGCTGGAACACATGCCACCTAAGGGTGACCCTGGTGGTCAAGCACAGGGTCCTGCTCGCCCGCGCTGAGGCTCTGCTGTGTACAAGGAAGGGGCACACACCAGGGGGGCAGCTCTAGGATGTCAAACCACACATACAACACTGGTGTCCCTATACACAGAGACAGGGCTCATTTCTAAATGCTCCTTTCAATCCAGTCCAGTGGTCTAGATACAATGACAGTACACTCGATGCCACCCTCAGGGTGGGCAGAGGTCCCACCATGTATTTCTTTCCTCTGTGGGTTACTGTGAGGGGCATTCCATGCATGCTGGGTTACAATGGAAGACTTCTGAAATCCAACTGACAACAAATAATGAGATAAAAAAAC